TCAAACATCTAAGCCTTTCCGGCCCTGGCTAACGTCAACTGCCACCAGAGTTCCAGTGCTCGTAAAGGACAAGTCTGCTCTACAAAACAGGGCCCATTTGTTCTCAGGTGCGGCGGGTGCTTACAGGAGTCAAACACAGGCTGTCCAGTGGGGGGAAATGAAGATCTCGGATGAGCTGGACTCAGGGGCATCTATCTGGCCCTGCCGTTTTCTGTTTCCCCCCACCCCCCAAACAAATCACTGCTCAACCTCCACTGAGTCTTGCTGGAAACAGGCCAGTGTGACCACTCACGTCCTGATTGTGCTCAGATTCTGCCAACAGGCAACACCAAGAGTCTGCCATCCACCTGCAAAGAGCAAAATGATCTCGTCTTGAAGAAAATTCAAGAGGTTCTCTGGACCCAAAGCCGGACAAGTGGGTCTCTCCATTTCAGTCAGAACTCTTAACATTTCCAATATCCACTGGAAAAAGGTTTCTACGCCTCACAGTGTCTGCAAACAACCTGTCACATTATAACAGCGAGGCTCCATCAGGAAAGCAGGATCACTAGGCCTGTGCCTCCCTTTCTCCTGGGAACTCCCAGGTCCTGACCCAGTACTGCCTCCTTGCCATGCTGGTGCTACCTACTGTCTCCTCCCTCCCCAGTCCCCAGGTTCACCAAAAAGGAGCACAACAACAGGGAACTTAGATAAACACTCTCCTAGTCTGGTAGCGTAGTGGTTACGAATCGGGCTGCGAACCTTAAGGTCAGCGGTTCGAAACTACCAGCCGCTCCGCGGGAGAAAGATGAGGCTTTCTACTCCCGTAAAGATTTACACCCTCGGAAACCCTGTACAGGGTCGCTATGGGTCGGACCCGACTCGATGGCACTTAACAACAACAACAACAGTCCAACCCGGAGTCCTGGTGTGGCGCTGTGGGTTAATGCGCCAGACTGCAAAGCCGTTTGAACTGCAAGGTTGGCAGTTCAAGCTCACCAGCTGCTCCTTGGAAACCCTGTACCGGGTCACTATGGTTCGGAGTTGACTCAACGGCACTTCACAACAACAACAGTCCGACCCGCAGCAGCCACCCCTGGTGAAGGATCCTCAGGCCCACACACAGTGTGCACCAAAGCCGGCAGCTTCCCCTCACAAAATGGGACCACAAGCTATCAGTGGCTCCCAAATGCCAGTCTGACTGGATCTGAATCATCAGTTCCGGGGAGTTTCTCTGACTTGTGGGTTGCTGGGCCCACCCTGAGCGACTTGGATTTCACACGAAGGGATAGCGAGGCCTGGTGCCCTGGACACCAAGGACTCAAGCTGGTGCCCTCCAAGAGATCAACAGGGCTAGAAGCAGCCTGGGTCCTTGAGAGAGAACTTCCCTCCCTCCATCCCAGGCAAGCTGGCGAGTGAACAGGCTTTGTCAGTGAAAGAAGACGGGGTGCCAACTCCCAACTCCAAAGGGGATGCCAACCTCTCCGCTGGGCAGGGGTCTGGGCAGGCAGGAACCTGCCATGAGACAATGCGTGGGAAGCCTAAGCGTGTAAAAAACCGAAATCCAGGAAGACTGCAGGTGGGAAGCTCAGCTTAGAATGTTGTTTTTGTTGAGTGCCGTCAAGTGATTCCAACTCATAGTGACCCAGACAGCATTTCTGAGGAGTGGCTGGGGAGTTTGAACCGCCGATTTTGCAGTTCAAACTGAACTTGTAAGTCCAGTGCTTACCCTACAGTGCCACACCAGGAGCAGGGCAATCAAGCCTAATGTCTTTGCCTCCAGCTTTCCTGGCTCTGTAATACAAGATAGATCCCTGCTTTCACTCACTTCCTCGGCACAACTGGGGACAAGTGTCTCTCTCTCACCATTTCAGGGAAACCTAAAAGGGTCAACGTGAGGGGACATAGTATAAAAGACTGCATGCAAATAAATCACCAAGATCCAGTCTTCCTCTTCTTGCATTAGAGCTCTCTCACTACCAGCCCGGGTAGACCACAACCAGCCTGAAGTGGGCTGCTCCCAAAAGGAGGGCTTTGCCAACTGCAGGCACCCCATGCTGAGCTGAGTTGATGGTGGGCACACCCTCCTCAAGGTGAGGATGCTGGTGCTGCCAATATCACCCTATTTTATGTCAGGACCCCTTTACGCATGAAGAAAACCCACTTCTAATGTAACATAAGGCTGAAGGATTTTCCACTGTATTGAATCTAAAGTGAAATTCTTACAAGTGACGTGAAATTAAAAAAACAAAAACCCAAAGTTGTCACTGAGTCCATTCTGACTATGTGGGCCAGAGTAGAACCGCACTCCACAGGGATTTCAATGGCTGAGCTTTCCAAAGTAGACTGCCAGACCTTTCTTCTGTGGTGCTTCAAGGTAAACTCCAATCTCCAACCTTTCTGTTAGCAGCCTAGCACATTAACGGCTGCACCACCCAAGGACTCCTGAAACTGAATTAGTCACCCAGATAGTCTGGGTACATCAAAAGCTCAGGTTTGAAGGCAATGACGCCTAAAGAGCGAAAGGGCAGAACATTCGCTTTCTTAGGCTTTCGGTGCCATGCTGCTGTCTAATCTCAAGTAGCTCCTTTGGTAAACAGAGCTTTTCCTGGAGTTAATCACATCCAGACGTCACTATCCCAAACACCAGTGTGCAGGGGTCGGTAATCCAATACCTGGTGTATGGGAGGATGCAAAGAGCAAGTACTTAACTTCTATGTTCACAGCTTCCTAAAAACTCCATACTTCAACCTTCCTCTCTCTCAGTGGGGCTGCGCACCATTTTGTTTAGCTCTGGGGGGTGAGGGGGGGCTTTAGGTTTAGTTCTCTGTCTCTGGCTTTCTTTACCAGTCAAACAGTCAAATAAATAGGCTGAACTCAATGATCTGTAAGGACCTTTCAACTTTAAAATTCTGTTTCCATCATCAGACTTTTGACTCAGAAGATCTTAATTTCTATTTTGTAATTCACCCTGTTTATTTCCCCTTTAGAAAGCTTTAAGGATATCACAGTCTTAATCAATCCACACAGTGGGCGGATCCCATGAAGGGAAGCAGCAGACAATCCTAACTAGCTGGGTGAGTTTCTTATTGAAAACAAAATCTGAATTTTAGACTGAACTCACAATGTATGTTCAAATCTGACAAGCAGAGTCTGCTTCTATAACCCACTGCCATCAAGTGGATTCAAACCCACAGTGACCACAGTGTAGAACTGCCCTATAGGGTTTCCAAGTCTGCAAATCTGGAAGCTGCCAATCATATCGTTCTCCCATGGAGCAACTGATGGATTCGAACTCCTGACCTTCGCATTAATAGGCAAGCACTTAACTATAGTGCCATCAGGGGTCCTTCATCTGTTTAAAAAAAAAAAAAAAAATCATTGCCAAGGAGTTTACTCTGACTTACAGGAACCCTACCTAGGGGTTCTGAAACTAAGTCTTTACAAGAGCAGAAACCCTGGCTTTCCTCCATGGGCCAGCTAGTGGATTTGAACCACTGACCTTACAGTTAGCAGCTTAATGTTTAGACTACTGCACTACCAGAGCTCCTTCTCTATATTAGTTTTATACTGTCCTGATGTGGCAGACTGTAGCACTGGTGAAACCGAAGCCTAAATTTCACCAACTGATAGGCTGAGCAAACAAGACGGTATACATATTTATGTCCACTCCAGCTAATTACAGCCTCATGGACTAATTTTCAGAAATGAGTGTACAATTAATTCCTTGTAAATGTATGTGGCTGAAATGTGCAAGTACTCAATGTTGGGCACAAGAGTTTTATCAATATGTGAGCGCAAAAGGGTGCACAAAACTGAAGGTGGGAAATTCAGGGTTTTTTTCTAAAATAATGATTTATAAAGCATTTTTAACTTGATTTTTTTTTTAAACCTCCATAGTAAACTACCAGCTTTGAACTACTTTTATTTTGTCCAATCAATATTAACCATTTAAGGCTAGGAGGAGGGGCTTCAAAAAGTTTGTGAAATTACAAGATCATAGAATTTTTCCATGAGCTTTTTGAAGCCTCTGTATATTTCATTCCTATTCTTGTATTCTGAACATTTTCAAATGTATAGAAAATTCCAAGAGTGGCACAATGGTTATTTTGGTTTTTTTAACTTAACAGACTCATTCTAAATTTATATTTTCAAATTTCATGCTCTTAAGGGTTGAAAAGTAAATATCCCTGCATGTTTGTAAATACTTCGGATTCAACAGAGTACTACTACTTAGTTATCTGTGTATTGGAAATAAATTCTAAACATTTCAGTACCATAATAAGGAAATACATACCATTAAAAAACAAAACAAAACAAAAACACTGGCTTACTCTCTCCAGTGTGAGGCAATATTTTAAGGCAAAGGGACAACCAGGAGAACATACTCGGGGCTTTGTAAAGCTTAGAAACTGCCTGAAGCTCCCAGGTTTCCAGGACTCTTACTAGAACAACTTCAAACGTACTACCATGTCCATTTAAAACCAGGGGAAATGTTCATTTCCACGGGCCTCCGAAGTCACACTGCACCCCGAACGGCAGAGTAGATCCAGAAGACCCCACAGCCAAGTTGGGAAACTTTAGGGAGTAAAGCCCTCCAGACCACCTCCAAGCATGCGAGGACCTGGGACACAGGATGGGGGGCAGTGGCGCCCGATAAGGCCTCTGGGCACCGGGTACATTTCCGAGCCCCGGGCCCACTGCTACCCCAACCTCTCGACGCGAACTAGGGGTCCCCTCAAAGTCAAATGCGGCGCGATGAGGACGGTCGCCTCCCGGGTCTCGCCCTCTCCCGTCAAGGGCGGATCCCAAGGGGCCTCGCCAGGCGCCTCAGGGCGACCCGAGGGCCGACCCGAGGGAGGACGGCCAGGAGGGTTCCTCCTCGGGCTGTGTCCGCCCAGGTGGCCTCGGCCAACCTCCGGGGCCTGGGCCCCGGCAGAGGCTTAGCCGGTCCTGCGGTGCCGCCGCCATCGAGGTGGGGCCGCCGGCCGGGTGGGGACGCGGGCGCTGGTCCGGCTCACCTTGGGGCCTTCGGGGGTCACGCGTGGGTCGTTCCACGTCGTGGTACGGCTGTTGTGGTCCACGAAGAAGGGCCAGCCGGTCTGCGGGTCGATCTTGATCTCCCAGCCGGGGGGAAGGGGGTCGCGATCTTCGGCGCCGTTGCCGGACGCCATCTGCACCATGGGCGAGTGGGTGGCAGCGCTCATGCTGGTCGGGGTGGGCCCGGAGGGTGGCCGCCGGGGTGCGGGGTCGTAGGGTGCGGGCAGACGCAGGATCGGGCCTCCAGGCGCCGGGTCTCTGGGCCGCCGACGTGTCCGGGAAGCCGGCGCTGGGCACCTTTATGAATTAAAGGAGGGGTGACGTGGCCGGAGAGGGGTGGAAGTGTCTGGAAATAGCCTCCTTGCTGCCAAAGGGGAAGGAGGAGATAAAAGGAGGCAGCAACTGGCCGGCTAGAAACTTCTGGTCCCATCCAGAGAAGTTGGCGGCGGCCTGGCTTGGATGCAGAGCTCCGCCCTGAGTCATGGGCTATAATCGTGGCGCGCGGGGCGGGGCCGGGGCGGGGCCCGTGCGGTCGCCCCTCCCCCACCCTGCTCGGGCCTGGGGGGCCTGCCCCGGGGGGCGGGGTGTCACACAGGCCCAGCAAACTCCTAAGGTGTGTCCTCTGGGGTCCCTGGGCCGGTTTCGGTTCTCAGACCTGTCTTCTCCCCTGCGCGCAGCGTGGGTGTCCCTGGACTGGGAGCGCGCGTGCCGTGTGGCTGCTGCCCCTCCGCATAAAAACCAAGTCATCGTAGGCCTTTAAAGTCGTTTTAAGCTAAAGATGTGACATTCCTCCTGCCCCTCACCCCGAAAAAAAACAAAACAAAAAACAACCCTGATATTTGGGGACACAGGTGTCTCTCAGTTATGTTTTAGTCCCTGTCTTTCGAGAAGCTTGAGGGTTGTTTGGAGTGGAGTGCTTGAACAAAGCCAGGGAGAAAATGGAAGTGCAGTGGAAATTCACCTGCCGGCCTTCTGAAACCTACTGAAGGGGGGGTGGGGGTGGAGGGGATGGAAATTGTATCTGTGGATGGATTTATTGTCCTTGAACAACAAACGTGTTTCAAAGATAGAAACTTTCATTGCACTGAGTAACTTTTGAGAGAAAAATTCCCATTCTTTCGAGTTTCAATCTTTTTTTTTTTTTTTTTAATGGTAGAGGATCTCATTGGGAGAGTGAAAGGTGAAATCTTAAATCTGCACCTTCCTTTGGGGAGTGGAGGCCAAAACATACCAGAAAAAATGTCGTGTTTGTTTGATTCAATAGCGGTGTCATTTTAGCAGAGCACCCTAACTACCCTGGGAGGTCTATGTCCCTAAGAGAATATTTATTGTAGCTTCTGTTAAGTGCCTTTGAGTTAGTTCTGATTCACAGTGACCCTGTATGGAGTTTCTGAAGAGCCTGATGAGTTACAATCTCCCATGTTGCAGTTCACTTAGGACCCTGCTTGAGAGGTTCCAATTTAGACCCTTAGGCATGTTGATTCATTGCCTTCCCCAGAATCCTTTTGAGACGTTGCTTTGGAATAATGTTAGGCCCAATTTTCCAACTCAGAATCAAAGGATATGCCCTGGAACCTCAGATACTCCTCTTGCCTCTAACTCCTACTCTCAAATGAGATCTAAGGTGGTCTGTCAATCATTTCCACTTAAAAAAAAATTCTGCTTATCAGCTTTGAATGAAAAGAAAACGGTTTTCTTTGAAAAAGACCTAAGGACTGAATCAGGTTACTAAATACACAAGAGACTGATGTATAAACCTGAATGCCTGTGCACTCATTTACCATAGAAATTATTGAAATGTTGAAAGAACTGGACTCTCCAGTTAACTGGCCACTGTCTTATGCTTTCTTATATAGGAAGTTCTGAACAAAGGGGATATTCAATAAATATTGAAGTTTATTAACAATCAAATCCAAAGTAAATTTTTATTTCTGTCTTCATTTGCTCAATTTACTTTCCATTACAACTAGTTTAAGTACTGAGAGCTTTCCTCATTCCTCACTGGCTTTTTGTTGGTTTTGGTTTTGCTAAACAAAAGGAGACTTGGTGTGGCTTGCGCTGGACTGCAAGGTTAGTTTGCACCACAAGGGTGGCAGTTCAAACCCACCAGTCACTCCTTGGAAACCCTATACAGGGTCTCTATGGGTTGGCTGATATACAATCTCTAAGGCACTCTGGTAGCATAGTAGTTATGAATTGGGCTGCTAACCTTAGAGTCAGCAGTTCAAAACTACCAGCTGTTCCTCAAGAGAAAGATGAGGCTTCCTGTTCCCGTAAGAAGAGTTGATGCATCTGAGTTATGGTGTTAGAGGAGAATACTGAAAGTGCCATGAACAAACAGATCTGTTTTGGAAGAAATGCAGCCAGAGTGCTCCTTGGAGGCCAGGATGACCAGACTTCGTCTCTCATACTTCAGACATATTAACAGAAGGATATCATATTTGGTAGGGTCAAAGAAAAAGAGAAAGACCCCCAGTGAGATGGATTGGCCAAGTGGCAGCATCAATGGGCTCAAGCGTGGCAACAATTGTAAGATTGTCCCAGGACCGGGCAGTGTTTCGTTCTGTTGTGCATAGGGTCACTATGAGTAGGTACCAACTCGATGGCACCTAAAAACAACAACAACAAAGATTGACAGCCTCGGAAACTGTATAGGGTCGCTATGAGTTGGAACTGACTCCACAGCACACCACCACCACCACCCACCATGGGTCAGAACCGACTTGACACAGCACTTAACAACAACAACAACAGACAGAAGTGGAGAGGAAGTAGGTTCCTCTGGGAGTAACACAACTGTTTCTGATGACTGTACACCAACACAAGAACCAAACCACTGCCATCGAGTAAATTCCGCCTCATAGCGACCCTAGAACATGACTGAGTTTCCAAGGGTGTCTGTCATTCCTTACAGAAGCACATCTTTCTCCGGAGTGGCTGGTGGGGGCCAGCAGCTGATTAGCAGCTGGGGTTTCAAACAGGTTTGTGTAAAGCGGAGGCCTGAGTCTTAGAGAGCTAATTTGAAGAAGTCCCTCGGAGCCGTGCTGAATAAGGAGGAGCCTGCTTATGCCTGGTGGTTTATTGCAGATTCTTACCTTGGTTATGAGTCAAGCTGCTAACCTGAAAGTCAGCAGTTCAAAACTACCATTTGTTTTGCAGAAGAAAGATGAGGCTTTCTGCTCCTATAAAGACTCAACAGCCTCGGAAACAGGGTCGCTATGAGTTGGAACCAACTCTACAGCATAGCATCATCATCACCACCACCACCTTCATAAACCTCTTTCTTGTCCAGAAACCGGTGACCCAGTCTTAGTGTAGGCCGCAGAACCAACTGAACAGAAGGGCAGCAATCAGAACTAGATGGAGGCGTTTATCCTCTGAGTTCTGGGCAGTGAGAATTGTGCTCAGACTTCCCCATCAGCCTTAGGCCACTCTCCCTAAGCCTGAAATGCTTGGTGAGTGAATGAGAATATGAGCTGATATCCCATAAGGATTTAAAAAGCTACATTGACTGTAAGCCTTGGAGTCAGTCTTAAGATAATTCAATTCTTGACATCTATAGAGCAGAAGTACATTGACAGGGAAATGCCAGAGGCTCAAATCAGATTCAGACTTGGACCTGGAATGAGGCTTATCATTGCTGAAGTCAGACAGATCTTGGCTGAAAGCAGAGAATACCAGAAAGATGTTTACCTGTGCTTTATTGACTACGCAAAGACTTTCGACTGTATGGATCATAACAAGCTATGGACAACATTGCGGAGAATGAATATTCATGAGCACTTAATTGTGCTCATGCTGAACCTGTATGTAGACCAAGAAGCAGTCATTCGAACAGAACAAGGGGGCACTTTAAAATCAAGAAAGTGCACACCAGGATTGTATTCTTTCACCATGCTTATTCAATCTGTATGCTCAGCAAATAATCTGAGAATTGGAATAATATGAAGAAGAATGTGGCATCAGGATTGGAGGCAGACTCATTAACAACCCGTGATATGCAGATGATACACAACCTTGCTTGCTGAAAGTAAAGAGGACTTAAAATACTTACTGATGAAAATCAAAGACCACAACCTTTGGTTGCACCTCAATGTAAAGAAAACAAAAATGCTCACCACTGGACAAATAAACAACATCCATATAAATGGGGAAAAGATTGAAGTTGTCAAAGACTTCATTTTGCTTGGATCCACTATCAACCCTCATGGAAGCAGCAGTCAAGAAATCAACATACTGCCTTAAACAAATCTGCTATGCAAGACCTCTTTAAAGGGTTGAAGAGCAAAGATGTCAGTTTGAGGACTAAAGTGAGCCAGAGCCAAGACATGGTATTTTTAATAGCCTTACGTGTGTGAAAGCTGAACAGTAAGGAAGACTATAGACGAGTTGATGCATTTGAGTTATGGTGTTGGAGAAGAATATCAAAAGTACCATGAACTTCCAAAAGAACAAACCAATCTGTGTTGGAAGAAGTACAGCCAGGATGGTCCTTAGGAGCCAGGATGGCCAGACTTTGTCTCTCATACTTTGGACATATTATCAGGAGGGACCAGTCCCTGGAGAAGGACATCATGCTTGGTAAAATAGAGTGTCAGTGAAAAGGGAGGAAGACCTCCCACAAGATGGATTGGCACAGTGGTAGCAGCAATGGACTCAAGTGTAACCATGATTGTGAGGATGGTGCAGGACAGGGCAGTGTTTTGTTCTGTGTGATGACACCTAACAACAACCGCAACCTAGAGCCATACCCCCTCTAGCCTGATTCCTCATTGTCTTCAGGTATCATCTCTCCTCCATCCTCCTAGTTGTTGTTGTTAAGTGCCGTCGAGTCGGTTCCGACCCATAGCGACCCTATACAGGGTTTCCGAGTAGTCAGGGTCTTATAACCCTTCTAAGTGCTTTGAGCTTAATCCTGTGCCCCTGTATCAATTACATAGCATGGCAGTTGCTTATTTGATCATTTGATTTGCTCATGGATTGAGTTTGTTGAAAACTGGAGCAGAATCTTGGAGGGCATCCAAGTGGTTCATTCTGGTTCTACTCCCTGGTGAGATTTTGCCTTTCCACCCCAGATATGAAGTCCTGCTGTGGCGCTGTGGGTTAATGTGCCAGACTGCAAAGCCATTTGAACTGTAAGGTCGGCGGTTCAAACTCACCAGCTGCT